TTGGCTAATGTGCTTTTTTCCAAGTGAAACAGTAACATTTTGCACACTTTGTAAGTGTTTTTCAAAGTTTGCGGATGTCTTAGAGTTTTAAGCATACAGGAAAATAATCAGTTCATGTGGCCAGTTGTATTTTGGATGGTCTAATCTGTAGTTCTTTATCTTTCTTTTAGTACCTGGAGTCCATGTTTACACTGCTCTTTCAGCTACTTCAGGAAGTAACACAGTGTGACACCAAAATGCATGTTCTTCATGTTCTGTCCTGTGTGATTGAAAGAGTCAATATGCAGGTATTTTTTTAATATATATATTTTAGTTTTAGCTTTGTCCTAAGAAAAGAGGAGGACTTGTTGTGGAAAGAAAATGTAATCAATTAATAGACTGGTTGTTGTTGTCAAAGATGCCTGCACTGTTGACACTACTTGGTCTTCTTTTCAGTTCTCATTTATCTTTTGTGTAAAATGTTAACTTACTTTTCTTAAGTTACTATGTATTTTTTGTATTGAATCAGCTTTTAGAATACCAAAGGATTTTTACATCTTGTGGCATTTCTTGCAATTTTTTTTTTTATTTGTGATTTATTCTAATTGTCTCATCTGAACTAATATCTTAATCTATCATACATATTAAAAAGGCATTTTTGGGGAAAAATGCTTTGCACTCATAGGGAGTGTGCAGTTAAGTTTGTAATTTCTTGTTGATACTGCTATGGGTCATGGTTGCCTCTACAGCACTCTCTTTAATTGCATGACAAGTTTCAAATTCATACTATGGATTCTCAGTACTTTAGTGTTAAAGTATGTGCTTTGGCTTTTACATAAAGAATTTGAAGACGGTTTTGCAGAATTAAACAACAAATGTTTGGCTGCTTTTGTCTCAGGTTTTGTTGTGGCGTGTTTGGTTTGGTTTTTTTTTTCAGTATTACTGTATTAAGGACAAAGATAATGCATATTTTTGACTTTATCTCGTCTTTCTACAAGTAATCCTGTCTGAGAGCCAGATGAAGCTTTTGTAATTGTCCCTTGCAGAAAAAGTCAACATGACAGCAGATTTCCCTGCAGTTTAGAGAAGCAGCATTAAAAACAAGTTGAGAAAGAATCCTTGAATTATGTTTAGGTTAATTCCTAATTAAATACTTTGAAGACAGCTTAACCTTTTAGTATTGAAGACCACAATAGAAAATAAATATAGGCTAGGATAAATCTCTGAAACTTAGGTAGTTTAACTCCTGCTCAAAGACTAGGTCACTCCAGAGGATATTCAGCTTTTTCTCTTTTTTTTTCTGGGACTTTTTCTGATTTTAAAGAATGCTGTTGTTTACGAATCCTGTGTAAGTGAAGAATATACTAATATGAAAATATCTCTGCATTTCAAGTTTTAAATATTTTTGTGTCCTATTTATTACATAATGATTGCTATTCACAGATGTCACTGTAAGTAATATGCTCTTTTCAAACTACTCTGCAGTCAGACGTTACTTCAGTCACAGAATAAAGAATATGGTGTTTTAGAAAGATTTAAGCAAGCTGTGTTTTTACTGAGACAAAAGCAGCTCCTGCATTTTTCAGAAATTATGCTTGGGATGAATTATTAGTCTTGTTTCACATATTAAGAAACCAGTTTGTGCTCTGAACTTTAGATACGACCGTATGTGGGATGTTTGGTTCAGTATTTGCCACTCCTTTGGAAGCAGAGTGAGGAGCACAATATGCTCCGATGTGCCATTCTGACCACCCTAATCCATCTCGTCCAGGTAAGGAATCTGAGTCACATAATCATTGTCACTACTTCCTACAGTTGTTTCTTGATGATAAATCAGTATGTGGTTATATTGCCTGCATAATTTGTGGTATTAACTACGTCTTTAATACAGACTATATACTACACTTCCTTCTCCAACCCCTGCTGCATCTCAAAGAATATGGTAGGACTAGCAGAGACCAAGTGCTCTTATGACAGTGTCTGTACAGGATCAGACTTAATATGCATGCAGTCTTGAACTCGTGGAAATGCATGACTTAAAAGGATGGTATTGCAGAGGTTAACAATGGAGAGAAAGTGAAAGGAAAATAACAAATATTATTATAAAAGGAGAAATAAATGTTTTTTCCAACGTGGTACAACTTTAAATGAAGAGGAAATAGACTTTTACCACAAAGAAGTTGTAGAAATTCTTATTTCTGTCCCCTGCACAGACCAAAATCTGAGTATTTTTTTACAAAAGGTCTATCTCTTGGTGTACATAGACACAAAAAGTTGAGACAGATTTGTAGTACAATCTTTTTCTTTTAAGGAATGTTTGTTTTAAGTAAGTAGATAAATCCACAAAGAAACTGCAACTTAGAAATGTCAAGTAATTTTAAAATTCCCATTATCGAAATACAGGAATTATGCAAGTTCAGCATTCCACTAGTCCCAACTCTCTTAAGTAGTAATATTGCAATACTTTGTAATGCTGCTCAGTAATTGGCTTCTCAGTCATTCCCAATTTAGTCTTCATTGTTCAAAAGTCTCATGAATCATTTAAAAACTGAATCTCTGTCGTCAGTCTGTGAATCTCTGTGTAGTTATGAAAACAAACCCTTCTCCTGAATATTAGAATATGTCAAATGATTTTGTGAATTATAAGAACCAAAGATTAATTATTTTCTTGACCTAGGATACATACAGGTTTTAGTCATTTGATATTTGTTGGACTTGTGATTTCTCCAAGAAAGAGTGACCAGTGAATGTTTTTAGGAATCTATGTTCTTTATAATTTTTTCTTGAAGACTATTGATAAGTGGATTGTTTTCATAAAACATGGCATTCTCAAGCCATGTTGAGAGAAAGCCTGGGAATATCATACTGTTGTTTTATGAAATGGAAGCACGTTCAACCTTTGATTTCTTGAATGCATGTTTACATGTGAATGTAACAGCAGTGTAGACCTTTTCTGTGCTATTTTTAAAATTCTTGCTTCGAGACTTCTGACATATTTTACATTTTTTACTTATTTTGTAGGGATTGGGAGCAGACAGCAAAAATCTCTACCCTTTTCTGCTTCCAGTTATCCAACTAAGTACAGATGTTTCTCAGCCTCCACATGTCTATCTTCTGGAAGATGGTTTAGAGCTGTGGTAAGAATCTTTTCTTTCTGTTTTTAATTTTGAAACAGTTATTTTTCTATCCCAGAAGAAAGAAGTTGTAAAAAGCTTTGAATACTAAAATTGATGTGTTCTTGTTACCTTACCTTGACATCACCTATATTGCACCTTTTCTCAGAAGACAGGATGTTAGGAAATCTATATACTTAGCTATTGGTAGTTGTGTTTCTTCTATTACTCATTTTCAGGTAGTTGATACTGAAGATACCATTCTGTAGTGATAAGGAACAGCAACTTTCTGTCTAGACTCATTATAGTGTGTATGCTGATTTTACAATTTGATGTGCTTGGCTTCGGGAGAACAGTGAGTCAATGGATCAGAGCTGGTTGCAGAAAGAAACATCATAATTACAAGGATAAAATGTAGAAGTTAATTTCTCTATCTCAGACTATTGGTGACTGAACATAAAACAAGAAGTGACACTGTGCTCACTTTGCCGTGAGCCTGATTTATTTGTTTCTGGTGCAGCTGATGCTGTAAGAGAGGAGAATGGTTACCTGGACCAAATTCTGAAGAATAGGAATACATAGAATTTGTCTTAAAATAATGAGTGATTCCTTTGAATCTAAATTGTAAATGAGCATTTCAATTACAAATACTTAACCTACAAGCAATCTGTTCTATATACAGCAAAACTCAGTTTTATAATGCTGGTGGCAGCAAGTCAAAGTGCTTCTCAAGAGCTTCTCAAAATTTAGCATAGTGGCCTTTTACACGTAACAGTTCAGAATTTTTATATCATCTTAATAAAATTGATATTCAGGTTGCTTTTCTGACGTCTGTGCAGAAAAATGATATTTTGAGATGGCTCTGAAGGCTTCTTGAACCAACCAAGAGCAGGAAAACTACTAAGATATTTCACATAACTAGACATATTATTTAAATATGGTAATCCCAGGCCTAAGATCTAGGAAAAAATGGAATTTGTTGCTGTGGCTTTAAATGCAAGCTTAATTTATAAGTACTGTTTTCAAATCCCAGGAATTTTAAATTGTTAGAAATAATATATGATAATCAATGCATCATTTCAGACATGAAAAAAATGTAAATGTGTGAGCTGGACCATCACAGCTTCTCCTTTGAGGTTTAGAATGCAACGTGTGTTGTTGTAATGCTGCAAATATCCCACTCTACCCATCTTTGTTTCCTGACTGGCTACTTTGACATGCTCACTGTTGCATTTCAGAGCTTATGTTGTCTTTATAAAATACAGTATTTATAAAAAGACAGTAGCACGTTTTTCTTTGTTTTCCTACCTTGAAAAGGCCTGTGCCTATATTGATAAGTGTGTTGTAAGGACTATTGCTGTGCTTGAAGTATGTTTCTGGTAGTTGTTACATATTGTTGACAATATAGATGGTTGCTGGAAGTTAAAATGTTTACATCTGTCAAAAGGATTGCTCAGTATTACTCATACATCATCTGAAATACTTTGCTTAATCTGTTCTTAGGTTAGTGACATTGGAGAATTGTCCATGTCTTACACCAGAACTTCTGAGAATATTTCAAAATATGTCTGCCCTTCTTGGTAAGTCTTTTACTAATAAAATTTCAGGGTTTTTTTCCCTGCTGCTTGTTGTTCATGCACTGAGCAAGGCTCCTGTGGCTGCAAGAACTAAGGGAGCTTGCAAAATTGCAACAAAAATTGAGGAACAGGTTTTTATTGTCTGACTTTCTCATCTTTTTAAATATTTATGATCCACTTACCCTAGTTCTCTTTTTTTTAATAACTTGGAGCTGCTGTACATGAAAGATAAGACAAATTTCAGTTTATCGTTTCAGTGGTTATTTTAGGAAGTTTCTGAAATTTAACACCAAATGTGCCAAGTGTTACTGATATTGATTATGTGGAATACTTGCCTGTTGTGCTTACAATCAGAATGAAGTTATTAGCTTTTCTCTTATTCAGTTAATAACAAAGTAGGATGTTTTCAAACTGCCTAAATATGTATACAAACATTTGGCTCAAGCACTGAAATTAAAAACAGCAGTTTGTTGGCAAAATTTAAATTTAATAACGAGAATTAGGATTCAATATCAGTAAATACTGATATTTCAAGTGCTTTTCCTTCATAATTAAAGGGAGTATAAAAATTCTGTGATTTAATTTTATGTTAATACATTTGTGTGTTCAAACATATGTTTGAGCTATATTTAGCTGTACTTTTGAGATTTCAACACTAATGTAGCAAGTGAGTTTGTTTAAAGAGAAATATCTTCACAGAATCACAGCAGTTAGCTTTTTAATTGATAATTATTTTCAGGACTTAATATTTTATTCTATTTCTACTGGTCACTAGAAAGTTACTGACTCATGGTAGGTAGGTGCAAGGTGATGTCTTTTGTTATTTGTCCTTGTATACAAGATGTCTAATGACAAAACTGCTCTGTTTAGTAGTGGCTTTATGGTTAAATACTCCACAGCTACCACTAAAATTCTGTAGCTGCTGAGTCCTTACTGTTGTCATCGTGCATAACTACACACCTCCCTTCCAGCATCTTGTTCTGTGTCAATCAGAGGTGGTGTCTGCTGCAGGAAGCCTGCACTGCATGAATGGCTGTGATTTTCATGGTTTGTCACACTACTAATCTTCTTGAGTTAAATTCAGAAATACTCTATATTTGTGGCTTGTTTGTTTGCTGCTGATATTTTCTCCCCAGTCCTCATGTGATTCTTTTCAGAGTAGAGATGAGTAGGAATGGAAACCTTGGCATACTCTTCTTAGAAAAGGTGGAGGTAGTCTGGAATATTCTCTATTTGTAATGATGTCCATGTTTTATGAATGAATCCTGGAGGACAGTGATGCTCTCCTTTGGAAACAAATTACCTTCTCAAGAGAAATTATTTATTCTGAGTACTGAAAGCTGTATGATGCTGATAGAGTAAATAGTACAATAAAGCTGTGTAGGATTTCCTTAACATGAACTTTCAAACATGTTTATGTCAAACTTTTTTTTATCAGGGTTGGGAGTGAGTGGCAAAAACACAGCAGCTGATGTGTAATCAGAGTGATTTCATCCTATAGACTTCTGTACTATGCTTCTTGAGTATTTTTCTCAGAAACTGTTTTTCTGAGTGTCACGTTTGTTAGAAATTTTGATTTCTGCAAAATGATGCATATTTTGACAGGAGGTGGAAACAATTGTGGTACGTGCTTTGCCTACAAATCTGTTTACATGAGGAGCATCTGACTAGACAGCCTCCACATGACACAGACGTATGATGTGTGAATAGAGTTGGAATTTTGGATTAATGCTAACCTTATTTTAAAATGTAGTAGATAGAAAACCAGTGCAATACTGCCATCTGCTACTCCTTATGAAGCTACTTAATTCAGGACACTTGAAAAATAGATTCTTCACTTTAATCAAGTGCAACAGTACAGTTTAAGGCACAGCATCTTGCAAAAGAAAAGGTATTGATCAGTGATGATCAACTGTGCTAGTTGATTAAATAACTGTTCTTAAACCTGTAGCAGAGTTTTTCCAGTACACCAGTAGCAATATTCAGCTGAAACTTCCAGCACTTAAAGTCAGACTCTTCTGTCCCTCTTAGCATGGTGATGTAGCTGCCAGAACAAGAAGTTTTAACTGAGAAGTCAAAATTGCAAAATCTTGTGTGCGTTAACAGTCTGAGATAAGATTGTCTGATTTTCAATTCAGTCTGAAGTCATATAAGTAAAAGTAAAAGGACAGATGAGGTGAAGGGAAGTTTTAAAAAGGTAACTACTGTGCTTATGTTTTTTGGAGTAGGGTGGAGAACTAGCAACAAGATGCTCCAGAAAATTAGTTCTTGAAACTACAATGTAAGGAATATTAACCACCTGATTTTTGTTTTCTGAATTTATTTTTACTGAATGGAATTGCTGTAATACACAGGTAATGTAACTGTTTTTCTGGTATACTAGCTTCTACATCAGCATGTAAGTCATTCAGAAAATATGTCAGACGTCAACGTGGATGAACAAGAAGGGCTGGAGGGCAGGGAGAGAAGAATTTATATGTGAGATTTTTGAACTTGAAGGGGAAAGATATCTAGATATAGATATATAGGTATGTTTTTGATTTTCCTTTGTTAACTAATCTGAAAATAATATATAGTTGTTCCCTTCCACATATAATTGTCCTTATGAAAAGATCTTTTTGTACCCATCTCAGGATACTACTGTTGTTGGAAGTGGATGTTAGAGGAGTTATACAAGTCAATTGGATTTGCCTTCAGGAACAGAATATTGCATTTGTTGTGAAGGCTTGATTTCACTTGCATAAGTGACCGACCTTCAAAGATTATGGTGCTATCACTGATGTACAATAATTATGCACAGCATAATTGTCATACTTGGTTTTCAGTTCAGCAGTGGTGCTACAGTTTAAACTCTGTTGAAATGTAATTGCTCTGTAGAGGGATTGCACAGTGTCTTTAATACATCTCTTGAAATGTATTAAATAATGCAGAATGGAGAAATTTCTGCACTGAGGCTGCTTAAAATGACAATTGAATCTGATACAATTTCAGGTTGGGAACATGGTCAAAATCTAGACATACCTGTTCCAAGAAGCAGCAAGTTTAATGTGCATGTGCTGTATTTGTAAAGTTACTGGCAAAAAACAGGTTACTGGAATTGGACTAACTCCTTTGATCCAAACAAAACTCAAAGGAGAGCATTAATGATTCAGAAAAATGTTTGATTTCAGGAAAACCTGGCAAGAGGATTGATTGTTTTTAAATGTAGTTAGTTCAACATAGATAATTCTGGAAATTTTTGCTAAACATTGGGCTGCAGGTGAGTGATGGAAGTTCTGTCATTTCCATGACATATGTCACACCTGTATTCATTTTGACCTGAAAGACAATTTTTGCTACACACATTTGATTACCTTTTATCAGTTATCACAGAATTAAAAGTTATGGAAAATTTAGTAGTACTTCCTGTTTATATGACCATTTATTTAGAATTTGTCTACTTGTTTCAGTGTCTAAAACTTCAAATATCATTGTATCCATTAAAGAAAAAAAACCACAAATGCAGACCTCTAAGGAGAATGTGATGTGTAACTCTAGTAATATGCTACTAAAGCTAAACTTATAGGTATCTTGGAATCTTTTGATGAGCATGTTGGATTGATAGGTGATCTCTTTTCAAGTCAAGAGACAAAAGTAATCATAATAAATGATTACTGGATATGACCTGAGTACTGACATATGAACGTACTCATGAATGCAAAGCTGTCCTATGGCCATCTCAAATGGAAGAACATGAACATTCTACCTAATGGGTGGGAAAAAAAAAGAAAATCTGCTGAACCTCCTGTCTTGGTATGAAAGACAGGTATTTGCTAAGAAAGGCAGGAGCCTCTCTTTGAAATGGAGAGTGTAAACCCCCCTCCCTCCAAATTATTATAATTTTGGAAATTAAGGCAAAGATATGAATAGGGATAGGAATAGCAGTTCTTTACTAATATGTCTAACAAGGCAAACTGCAGAAACAACACCAGCTATAAAAACTGACAACAGACCAGAGCAGTGTAGCTCAGTTCCAGTCCCTTTGGCCAAGGCCTCTCTCCCTGCGCTCAGTTCCCGGTGCTGGGGGCAGGGCAGGGCCCGCGCAGCTGAAGGCGCTGGGTGATGGCGGCAGGGCCCAGGGGTGAGAGGGATGGAGGAGCCGCTCCCCCCTCACGGTGTCGGCCGTGGTGCTCAGCAGAGTGCCCGGAGGTGGCAGACTGAAGTGGGAAGGCAGCAGTGCAGGGGTCGGACAGCAGCAGGGTGGCTCCCGGCGCTGGGATGGCGGGGATGGGGGCAGTGACGGCAGTCGTCCTCCTCCGACTCCGCGGGCAAAATGGGGCGAGACAGTGCCTCCCCTCTCCTCTTCTGGCGTTTTTTGGATCTCCCGGTTTTCCCCCCCCTTCCCCGTGCCATTAGGGCCTAGTCAACAGATTTCTTAGCATGACAATGGGGAGAATTCCATAGAGGGAAAAGGGAAAAAACCAACCCCCAACACCTCCCTAAAACTAAGCAGATGCTATAATGGAAAAGCAGCCGTGGTGATAACTGGTTTTGGGAGAAGTTTTTATATATAAATATCACTAGGTGTAAGCCACACTTTTGTACAGCTGCTTTCATCTAAGCCGTGAGAGACACATGAAATGTTGTCAAATGCTTGTTCCATCTGGTGAAGGAATTTTATTTAAAATTCATTTAAAGTATTTTCCTGTTGCCTCTCCATGATGATTTTATTAGGTATTTTAAAGATGATGGAGCTGAGGTCCATTTCTTTTAACAATAGTTTGTCTCCGTTTTAAGGAAATTTATCCCTTTGAGGTTTTTTGGTCTTTTGCCTTGTTTTTATACAATGTGGACTTTCTGCACTAGCATCAACATCCATGTGAAACTTTGAAACTTTTCATTTTGGTGTCAGTTCTGCTTGTACATGTTCCAGAGTAATTTTTTTTTCTTAAACAGTCCTACAGGTAGTGCCTGAGGATATATGTTTTTTTCTCTCTTCAAACTGCTGCTGTATATTATCCTCAGTGTGTATCTGTCTCTTAGACGGATATGCTCTCTTTACTGAAATACTCAAGCTATGCCCTACAGCTCAGTGTGTGTCAGCTCAATGCCATTTGATATGGCATCTGAGTCAGAAGAGCAGAACTGCAATCTTTATTTCATTCTTTCTGCTCAGCATTGACTGACTCAGTGTGAGAGAGACCATTTATCCATAATTGCAAGTCTCTAAAGTTTGTGTTTCATTTATTCTGTCTTTAATATCTTCTTTACTCAGCATTACACCCATACCTGACTTTGTTTGTTTTTTGTTTTTAGTTAGCACTAGCTTTTGAGGTTGTAGGATTTCTTGTGCTTC